GTGTCCCCGGCCTCACCTGGCTGCATCCTGTCCTTGGTGTACCAGATGGCGAAGCCGTCCCCGTTGAGGTTCTTCTTGCCCTGCCCGTGGATCCTGAAGTGCACCTGCAGCTCCCAGTCCCGCAGGTAGCAGGGCTGGGGGGACCCCGGACCAGGTGGGAACCCCGATTCCAGTTTGGGATCCCCAATTCCCAGTTTGGGAACCCCAATTCCCAGTTTGGGATCCCCGATTCCCAGTTTGGGAACCCCAGTTCCAGTTTGGGAACCCCGATTCCAGTTTGGGATCCCCAATTCCCAGTTTGGGATCCCCGATTCCCAGTTCGGGAACCCCAGTTCCAGTTTGGGAACCCCGATTCCAGTTTGGGAACCCCAATTCCCAGTTCGGGAACCCCAGTTCCAGTTTGGGAACCCCGATTCCAGTTTGGGATCCCCAGTCCCAGTTGGGGAACCCTAGTTCCAGTTGGGGAACCCCAATTCCCAGTTTGGGAATCCCATTCTCACTCTGGGAATCCCATTCCCAATTTGGGAGTCCCATTCTCACCTTGGGATCCCAATTCCCACTCTGGGAATCCCATTCCGAATTTCAGAACCCAATTCCCAATTTGGGAATCCCATTCCCAGTTTCGGAACCCAATTCCCAATTTGGGAATCCCATTCCCAGTTTCGGAACCCAATTCCCAATTTGGGAATCCCATTCCGAATTTCAGAACCCAATTCCCAATTTGGGAATCCCATTCCCAGTTTCGGAACCCAATTCCCAATTTGGGAATCCCATTCTCACTCTAGGAATCCCATTCCGAATTTCAGAACCCAATTCCCAGTTTGGGAATCCCATTCTCACTCTGGGAATCTCATTCCCAGTTTCGGAACCCAATTCCCAATTTGGGAATCCCATTCCCAGTTTCGGAACCCAATTCCCAATTTGGGAATCCCATTCTCACTCTGGGAATCCCATTCCCAATTTCGGAACCCGATTCCCAATTTGGGAATCCCATTCCCAGTTTTGGAACCCGATTCCCAATTTGGGAATCCCATTCTCACTCTGGGAATCCCATTCCCAATTTCGGAACCCGATTCCCAATTTGGGAATCCCATTCCCAGTTTCGGAACCCGATTCCCAATTTGGGAATCCCATTCTCACTCTAGGAATCCCATTCCGAATTTCAGAACCCAATTCCCAATTTGGGAATCCCATTCTCACTCTGGGAATCCCATTCCCAGTTTCGGAACCCGATTCCCAATTTGGGAATCCCATTCCCAGTTTCGGAACCCAATTCCCAATTTGGGAATCCCTCTGCCGACCCTCTCCCCATTTCCCTCCACTCCCAGCCCTCTCCCCGGACCATGCCGGTCCCCCCGTCCCCGCCGCTCTCCCGGTGCCCCGCTCACCACCCGGTTCCACACGGCTCCGTGCTTGCTCTGCACGTCGGGGGTGAGGCGGATGAACTGGGTCATGACCATGGCGTTCCCCAGCAGGTCCCAGAGCCCCGAGCTGGCCGAGCCCACACCTGCGGCCCACACGCACCGTCGGTACCGGGACAGCGGGCCCCGCGCACCGGCGGCACCGGGCGGCACCGGGCGGCACCGGCCCGCCTCCCCGCTCACCCTGGTACGGTTTGGACAGCGAGTGCTCCCGTTTCAGGTGCTCCTCGGTCTGCTCGGCCGCCGCCCCGCCGAGCCCCAGCGCCACGGCCAGCACGGCCAGCCCGGCCCGCCACCGGCCCGCCGCCGCCATCTTCCCCCGCCGCCGGCCCCGCGCGCCCATTGGCTGCTTCGCGCCGCTGCTCCCGCCCACCGGCGGAAGCGCAGATGGTGATTGGGCAAGTGAGGTGTCTGTCAGCTCGGGGCGCGAGGGGGGTGGTGGGTAATGTAGTTCTGGCGCCCGGTGATGGCAGCCGCCACTGAGGTGGGCGAGCTCTCTTCTCCCGGGCCCTGGTGCCACCCTGGGTCTTGGTGCTACCCCCAGGGCTCCTGGTGACACCTCCAGATGTTCTGGTGCCACCCCCAGATGTTCTGGTGCCACCTCCAGAGCTCCTGGGGTCACCCTCAGGGCTCCTGGTGCCACCCCCAGGGCTCCTGCGGACAACCCCAGAGGTCCTGGTGCCACCTCCGGATGTTCTGGTGCCACCCCCAGAGCTCCTGGTGCCACCCCGGGTCCTGGTGGCCCTGAGGATCCTGGTGCCACCCCGGGTCCCGATGTCCCCAGGTCCTGGTGCCACCCCGGGTCCCGATGTCCCCAAGCCCGGGTGCTCCTCAGGCTCCCGATGTCCTGCGGGTGCTGCGGGGGCGTGGCCACATGCAAATGAACATGGGGGCGTGGTTTTCTGCATGACGTCAGAACTGAGCACGAGCAGCTGCGTTCCCCTGGGGCGTGACGTCACGGCTGCGGGCGCGGCGTTTGAATTCCGGGGCGGAGCGTCCCTCCTCCGCGCGTGACGTCACGGCTGAAGTCATGGCCGGGGCTTCCCTCCCCCTGCTGCTTCCTCCTCGACGCGTGACGTCACCGTGAACAGAGCGCCCCTACTTCCTTCTCAACGCGTGACGTCACGGCTGGAGGCGTACCCACAGTGCCCCCCCACTCGTGACGTCACCCTCCGGCCGCGCGCGGTGGGCGTGTCCTCGGCGGCGGGGGCCGGCGCGGCCGTGACGTCACCGCGCCGCCGCGCCCGCCCGTGCGTGACGCTGCCGCCAGTGCCCAACATGGCGGCGGGCGGCGGCGGCGGCACCGGGGGGACGCCGCTCCGGCCGGGCCCCTCGGCGCTCGCTCCGCCGCCGCTGCCGCCGGCGCTTGTCCCGCCGCTGCTCGCGCTGCTGCTGCTGCTGCCGCCGCCGCCCGGCAGCGCCGCCGCGCCCTCCGCCGACACCGTGGTGCTGGGGCTGCGCTTGGAGGAGAGCAGCAAGCCGGCGGCGCCGCCGGCCGCCGCGGAGGAGCCGCGCGGGCCCATCCGCCTCACGGAGGGCAGCGAGGCCCTGCTCCGCCTCTACGGGCTGGGGCTGGGCCCCGGCGCGGCGCAGCGCGTGGCCTTCGCCGAGCTGCGGCCGCACGGCAACGCCTCGAGCGGCAACGCCACGTGCCGGGAGCGCTCGCAGGACCTGCTGGTGCGGCCCGGGCCCGCCGAGCCCCGCGACACCTCGGCGCTGCTCCGCCTGCGGGTGCAGCCGCTCCGCAAGCACGAGCGAGCCAAGACCTACGTGCTGTGCTCGCAGCGCCGGCCCGGCCAGCCCTGGCTGCCGCACCAAGGCGCGGACGGGCACGTCGTGGTGCTGGAGGAGAAGAAATCGCTGCTGCCGCTGTGGCTGCAGGTGATCCTGATCGCCGCGCTGCTGGTGCTGTCGGGGATGTTCAGCGGGCTCAACCTGGGCCTGATGGCGCTGGACCCCATGGAGCTGAGGATCGTGCAGAACTGCGGCACCGAGAAGGAGAAGCGCTACGCCCGCCGCATCGAGCCCATCCGCAGGAAAGGGAATTACCTGCTCTGCTCCTTGCTCCTGGGTAACGTGCTGGTCAACACCACGCTGACCATCCTGCTGGACGACCTGATCGGCTCCGGCCTCGGCGCCGTGGTGGCCTCCACCATCGGCATCGTCATCTTCGGCGAGATCGTGCCGCAGGCGCTGTGCTCGCGGCACGGGCTGGCCGTGGGCGCCAACACCATCGTGGTCACCAAGTTCTTCATGCTGGTGACCTTCCCGCTGTCCTACCCCATCAGCAAGCTGCTGGACTGCGTGCTGGGCCAGGAGATCGGCACCGTCTACAATCGGGAGAAGCTGGTGGAGATGCTGAAGGTGACGGAGCCCTACAACGACCTGGTGAGGGAGGAGCTCAACATGATCCAGGGAGCGCTGGAGCTGCGCACCAAGACGGTGGAGGACGTGATGACGCCGCTGCAGAACTGCTTCATGATCAACAGCGACGCCATCCTGGACTTCAACACCATGTCGGAGATCATGGAGAGCGGCTACACGCGCATCCCGGTCTACGAGGACGAGAGGTCCAACATCATGGACATCCTCTACGTCAAGGACCTGGCCTTCGTGGACCCCGACGACTGCACGCCCCTCAAGACCATCACCAAGTTCTACAACCACCCCGTGCACGTGGTGTTCCACGACACCAAGCTGGACGCCATGCTGGAGGAGTTCAAAAAGGGTGAGGAGAGCGGCCGGGAGGAAAATTCCGGGCGGGATTTGGTGGGCAGGGATGGAGCTGGAGGTGCCAGAGCGGCCACGATGCCAAGGGAACCAGTGACAGCTCGGGGGTCACCAAATTTGAGGTTCCTTCCAGCCCCAAACCATTCCACGGTTCCGTGTTCTGGTCCAATTGGGAATTTGGGAAGGAATTCTTTTTAATCCCAAAATTCAGGGATTTGGACTTCCTGCATTTGGAGCTTGCCCACACCGGATCTCCAGTGGCCACAATCCCAAGGGAACCAGTGACAGCTCGGGGGTCACCAAATTTGAGGTTCCTTCCAGCCCCAAACCATTCCATGGTTCCGTGTTCTGGTTCAATTGGGAATTTGGGAAGGAATTCTTCCTTTTAATCCCAAAATTTGGGGATTCTGACTTCCTGCATTTGGAGCTTGCCCACACCAGATCTCGTGGCCACAATCCCAAGGGAACCAGCGACAGCTCAGGGGTCACCAAATTTGAGGTTCCTTCCAGCCCCAAACCATTCCACAGTTCCGTGTTCTGGTTCAATTGGGAATTTGGGAAGGAATTCTTCCTTCTAATCCCAAAATTCAGGGATTTGCACTTCCTGCATTAGGAGCTTTCCCATACCAGGAACGTTTTCCTTATTTTTAATTCTTATCCCTGGAGGTTTTTGGAGAACAGGGAGGTCACCAAATTTAAGGTTCCTTCCCACCCCAAACCATTCCATGATTCCTTGTTCTGCTTCAGGTGGGATTTTGGGAAGGAAAGTCCCAAATTTGGGAGTTTTGACCTCGTGGATTTGGAGCCTTCCCATGCCAGGAATGTTTTCCTTGTTTTTAATTCTTGCTCTGCTTCCCAAAAATCGGCAGCAGGAGGAGGAAGACGATGTGGGACAGTTCCCAGGTGGAATTTGCCTTTTTTGGGTTTTTTTCCCAGTTTTTCCAACCCAACCCCACAGTTCCTGTGGGATGTGAGAAGCTCCAGGTGGGATTTGCCCTTTTTGGGATCTTTTCCCAAAGTTTTCCAGCCTGCCCCTCAGATAAATGAGAATTCCCAGGTGGGATTTTTCCCTTTTTAGGTTTTTTTTCCCATCCCACATTCCCCAATTCCTTTGGGATGAGGGGAAACTCCCTGGGCTCATCTTTGTGCCACATTCCAGGGACATTCCAGGGACATTCCAGGGACATCCCGGGATTCCCAGAGGTTTGGGGGATGCTGTCCCAGTCCAGCCCAGTTCCCCAAACCAGTGCAGCTCTGCTGGGCTGATCCCGATTAAGGGATTTAGGCTCCCTCCCTCCTTCCTTCCGGCCTCAAATCCCAGCCCTGGGATTTTTCCAACGGGAATTTGCAGGGTTTGGGGTTTTGGAGGTGAGCCCCACAAATTCCTGCTGGATTTGGGACCTCGTTGAGCCGGACAGGAGAAGGAATAATTAAGTGGTTGTGTTAATTGTGGGGTTTGAGCTGTGGGGATTGCCCTTGGGGTGGCAATTCCCAAATTTTCCCCGTTTCCAGGCTTTGAGTGGGGAATTTCCCGCTGGAGCCGGGCTGGGAGAGCTGGGAAGGTTCTCCTGGAGAGGGGAAATTCCTGGTAATGTTCCCCTGGAGAAAGGAAATTCCAGGGAACGTTCTCCTGGAGAAAGGAAATTCCAGGAGGGCTCAGGTTCCTCCAGGAGAGCTGGAGAGGGACTGGGGACAAGGGATGGAGGGAATGGCTCCAAATGGGAAAAATGGGGATTTAAATGGGATTTTGGGGAAGGAATTCCTGGCTGGGATGGAATTCCCAGAGCAGCTGGAATCCCTGGAAGTGTCCAAAGCCAGGTTGGAGCCACCTGGCACGCTGGGACTGGATGATCCCTGAGGTCCTTCCCAACCACTCCAGAATTCCATGGGGAGCTCTGCTGTCCCAGACGGGGTTAATTAGTGTCATTTGCCTTGGAGGTTTAATTAGAGTCATTTACCGTGGAGGTTTAATTAGTGTCATTTGCCTTGGAGGTTTAATTAGAGTCCTTGCCCTGGGAGGGAGCCCGGCCCAAGGGCTCGTTTATGTTTTAATGAGTTTATTGCTCCAGGGAGGGACGGGATGGGCTGGGACACCTTGGGGACATGGAAGGGTGGGGACAGCCCAGGGTGGGGACAGACAGGGGACAT